GTTTCTATGGGGAATGAATATCGTGCCAGTTTTTCCTTGAAAAGAAGTTAAAGCTTATCACTAATCCCCTAATGTCTATATGCAGATCTGTACTTTCACCTGTTTGATTTTTCAAGTCTTGTGCAGCATCTAATATTCTGAATTTGGCTCCATTCATCTCCTGATCCACACTGAACTCTCTATGTGCTCAATAAAAGGTTCCCCACAGCATGATGCTGCCACTCCCATGTTTCATAATAAGGGTAATGTTAGCCTTTAGCCACAAAACATAGATGTATTCTTTCTCCCACCTGCTTGCAGTGGATCTGTGCAGCTCCTCCAGAGTAACAAGCTTCTTGATTGCTTCTCCTTGTATGGTCTGTTAGTTAAGGTGGACAGACAGGTCTTTAAAAAACATGAAAACCACTTGTCCCTTCCTATAAAAATATGTACACCATATTCTTCGATAAATTCTCATTCTTAAAAGCAGTTTGCTCTATTCCTTTGTTTCGCACCGCAAGTATGCAACTTTATTGCTAAAAACTTCTTGCTTTCAGTGCGTGTCTTGTTAGAAAATCGTCCTGTTTCAGCTGCGACTCGCTTTCATCTGTAAGTACGGTAATCAGTCCAAAGTGTTTTTACGTTATGAGTTAAATTTTGTTTTTTGTTAGCAAAAGCAAAGAAAAACCCACATCCCACCCTTAAAACATCTAAGGAGAATACAATTTTGCTTTACTGCCTTTTATGAATTTGGTTAAAACCAAATGATTTTTAAGTTTTTGCCCTTAAAAGAACATGTCGTTTTTTTGTTTTTTTTTATCTTTTTACTCTTTTTCCCAGGAAAGAAGTGGAAACGAGAGCAAAGGGGCTGGTTGGAGGCCGAGGGTCGGCCCAGTCTGCCTTAGTGTGGTTTAGGGGAGTTATTTGGTGTTAAAATATGCCTTAATGGTTGCTGGGGATCCATTTATTACAGGCAAGAAGCAGAAGGGGGTTTCTCTTCTCATTTAATGTGACCGCCAAGAAGCTCGCCAAGTCCTACATGGCTGGCCAGCATTCTTCTCTGCACACATGCTGAATATGTGCAAGCTCATAATTATATTTTCGAGTCATTTAAAAGACGAATTTTTTTATGCATGCGTATCGATGGAAAAACATCATCTCAACAACAAACACACACCGCAAAGCTGTAGGAAACAGATTACAAATATATGTGCAGGCATGAAAGCGCTCACACAAATAGACTGTGGTCTCTGGCAGTTAGAATGACCTTTTCTGAACCATGGAAACACACACACACTCACACACACACACTGAACAACATTTAAGCGACGTAGAACTGGGGTTATATAAAAAGATCTCCAGAGGTCTTATTAATTCACATTTGTTTTGCAGTTGCGCAGCTCGGTTTCTCTCTTTCTCACTCACTCTGTCGATCACATTACTGGACTTGTTTTTCACTTTCCTCCATCTGGTCATCCCTCACTTTCTCAGTCATGGATGCAGCAGTCAACCTTTGCCTCATCCTGCACTCCCTCCCTCCTTATTTCCTTTCTTTTTTTCCTCCATCTATCCAACATGAGGCCCGGTTAAAGCTTGACACCCTTCCACAGCATTAGGGTGGATCTGTTAACACCTTCTCCCACATGGACGCCAGGGCCTTAACACCTGTTTATGAAATGGAGGTCTCCCAGCCTTTAAGTGTGCTTAGCCATAGAGAAGATATTTTGGTAAAAGAGGTGACTGGAGGTAAAATAGAGATTTCTTTTCAAGAGAAATTCATATTTTCTGGCAATGAAACCACTAATAAATGACTCTTAGGTTTTTGGTGGTTTATTTTGGAGTATTCTGGAAAAACTTTTGTGCCCACTGCATTGACCAGTATTTTCCCTCTTCTTCCAATACCAACACTTTCTGCCTCAGCCGGTCCATTTTTACTACAGGTTTCATCCGAATGATGTTTGGATTGGGCTTTAACCGAGACATTCGTGGCTGCTGCTGCTGCTCTGAACATGTTCTGAACGCCAGAACTAATTATACAGTGAATCCCTCCTCAAAACAAGGTGACTCCTGGCCTTGGCTGGCAGCTTTAACTGCATATTTAAAGGTTGTATAAGGATGTGCGTGTGTGATTGTATTGGGTTACGTGCAGGATGCAGGGCTCTATCCTTACTTTCATCAGCTGATTGAGGAAAATACTCCTGCAAGGCAGTGCAATATGAGCCTTAAAGTCAACAGAGTAGGATGCAAAATAGTTGCAAATCATCAATGGAAAAAAAATGATGAAAGTAGTACCGGTATTTAAGCTTTTAGGAACAACTGCATTAACCTCAGACAAAAGGCCAATTGTGGCAATTGATGAATTTAAAACTCAAATACGGAAATGGGTCAGGAGAATTAATCGTACTGAAAATGCAAGGATGCAACGCAAATACAAAAAATACTGCAAACATAAAAATTAGGCTAGGAAATATAAACTAATAGAATGACATGCTACAAATTAAGAGAAGTAATAAAGAATTGTTGCTACTTTAAAGAAGTAGCTAAGAGGTCTTATAGGGGAGAATCAGTCTCTGCAGCCATTCAGGAGTATTATATGTAATTTAAGATAAAGAATAACAGTTCAACCTATTCAATGAATAGGATTTGTAGAGTATGAAATAGTTTGATCATCAAGACCCTGAATGAAAATCGAGTCTGTCTTCAGTGATTTATTTGGAAAATACAGATGTGCATGTCCCTTTACCTGTTCGTTTATTGTATTCAGCATAGAATGACTGTAAGATGTTTTGGCGCCTATCAGTTTATAGAGAACCCTCAGTGCATATTGGTCCTTGCCTGGCAACCCCTTTAATAATTTCCTGGCCCCACCGGACCCTTAGTAAATTAATAAACGTGATGTTCAGAAAAATGAAGGACCTGATCTATAAACTTTCCTAAAAAGGAGAAATAAATTATCTTTTTTGGTGAGTGTAACATGTGCCTTGTTGGGGGTGATCCACAAAGATTTGATGATTTGATTTGATTTTGTGTTTTAAATTTGCTTTTAATTAAAAAAAGAGGGGGGGGGGCGGGAATCGCAATACAGTTGTCTGTGCAGGTGGTAATTTGTTTTATTTACATACCCTTCTACCATAATTGTGCAGTTTGATCATTATAATATGATCCTTAATGAATTGCATGTGGCAATCACTTTGCTCCTTCTCTGATGATCTGTGGGTGCACATGTTTGCATATTTAATGGGAAACCCTTTCTAGCCCAGGCCCTAAGTGTCTTTGTTTTGATGATAGCCCTCCCCCTAGTTGTGTGGAGCACATCTGTTATGTCGCATTAGTTTGCAGCTTTTCTTAAGCGGCAGTTTTTGGTACTTGCAGCAGTTTTGCTTTGCATTTGTTTTGTATGTTTGTGCGCTAGTCTGTTTTATGTATTTGCTGCAGGTTTTGTGTTTGCAGTGTATTTGCAATCTGCTGCTCCCTATTTTCATAAAGGCTCAGAATACCCAGTATTTAGACAGACAGATTGTATGATGTTTCAAAAAAAGTTCATTTAAAAACAACGGATCTTCAGTGAGCAGCTAGGGTGTCTAAGGTAGGAACCTCTGCAGAAGGAAAACAGAAATTAGTGACCACTTCTATCTGGCGGAGGAAGACTATGATCCAGGACAGTATCAGGAAGCGGTTCCGGGTCCAGTCAATAAAAAGAATCCAGCAGGAGTCTGAAGACAGGTCGCGCAAACAGATCGTAACGGGAACGGGCAGTCTCAGGGGTCCATAGGCAGAAAAGGTGAGGACCAGGCAAACAGTGCAAACTAATAAACTACACAGTAATTGTTGCAGTATTAAAGTATCACTTTGAGAGTACATTTGTTCCCACACTAATTCAGAGTGGGACAAAATGTACCCGAGTGTTACTTTGACACTGCAATATTTACTGTGTAGAAGACCTCACCAAGGGCTTGAATAATCTGGCACTGATGATTGGAAGCAGGCAGGTTAAATAGAACAAGTGACATAGATGAGCAGTATTGAGAAACTGGATGGCGCTAGGCAGGTGAATGGAAAGAACAATCAAGTCAGTCATCAGCGCCAAGCTCTTTACAATTTTCTGTGATTGTAGCATTTCTCTTTTGCATCCTTTGAATATGTAATAGTCAAAATGTCTTGACAGCAGATCTGTAGTACATATGGTATTTGCTGAACTTTTATATATTTTAGCACATTTCTGCTATTCAACCACCATACAATGAGAAAGACATCCCGTATACTGTCTGCTTCAGACATGTAGGGCTGATATCACTAAATCTGTTACTCAATAAATCAGTAGGAGTATTGATAAATTAAATTATTTGAAAAAGAAATAGAAAATAAAATTATATGTATCTACTTATATATTGGACATTAATAATTACCTTATCCAAGATAGATTTAGATGCCATTAGATTTCCCAAATACTGTATTTCCAAACTTTATGAGATTGAACAACTTTCCAAAGAATGTATAAAAGGTTTAGTCTCTAGATATGTAAAACCTGCAGAAACTTACTGTAGGAAACTTAAACCAGCCAGTGCAGAGAAGTTTACTTTTACAAAGTAATGAGTCAATAAAAAAAAAAAGAAAAGAAAAAAAAGAAAAGCACAACACACTTTCAGATTTTAATTTTTAAAAGGTTAAAAACGTCAAATGCATTTAGATCTAAAAAATATGTTGTAGTTCTTGGTTGTGATGTAACAAAAATGTACGTTTAGGGCCACAAAACTCTTTTGTAAAGAACATTTGCAATTCTTAAAAAAAAAAGTGTAAAAAAATGTTCAGCTTAAGATGCAGCTTCAGAAAGTAAATTAACCTGTTACAAATGGTTACTGTGTAACTCTGACTATCTGTGTGTGTGTGTGCTGTGGATGGAGGAGGGTGATTAGGGTGTAGAATATCCATCTCATCCCCAGAGCTGACCTAAGAACACACTGGTTAATCATCCACTAACCGACAGGGAGACAGAGAGAGACGCCACCTGAGCAGCTGAAGGAAAGACTCTAAGAGAAACCAACGAGTTGAAGGAGGGATCATTCGATTTACACCTGAGGGAGGCTCACAGAAATCTGAGGCCTGATTGTCCTCCTTTCCTGTCCTTCTTCAGTTCTAGTAACCACAGCTACTTGAGCTAGTCGGTGAGGTAATATGTACCTTCTGCAAGAACTGTTCTGTTTTTGGATCCAATCATGGATGTGAAAAGGGGCCAAACGGGGCCCTGGTGTCATCCGGGATGCCAGCTGCAGCAGTGAAGCCCACTCTGGAGAAGATGGTCACGGAAGGAGGGGGCATCGAGGAGCGGGGTGTGGATCAGTGGGAAGCCTCAGGACTCCATGGGGAGCCACTGCCCTTACCTTCCCTGAAAGTCCCCAGAGACCTGCTTAGGAGCTTCCCTCACTCCAAGCGAGTCGGCTCCTACCTGATCGGAAAGATGATCAACAAGGGCTCTTTTGCCAAAGTGATGGAGGGGCTGCATATTGCCACAGGGGAGAAGGTGGGTGCTTTCCTATTGGTTTGGAAATCCGAGAGAGCAGATTTAAAGCCATGTTCCATTCAGGCTGGGTGGCACCCATAGGTTACTGAAAGAACTCACCCACACATTACAATGATGATAACTGGTTAGAAACAGGCAGGGGCTGCTAACAGATAATTACGGCAATGAGAGTCTGAAGAAGGCAGTAGCCTGTTATTATAGCCTTGTAATGTTTTCAAAAATCCGGTCAAATCCATCTGCACCTGCTTATTTTATGATGAACTCCTGATTCAGCAGATTTACCCAATCTAAGGCAGATGTGCTGCTGTACTATATCTCTAAAGATGTCTATTGTTAGATGGTTAGAAACACACAGCAGTAGGAGGACATTAACAGAAAAACTGATTTAGCATACTGTCAAAGTTTTATGGATCTGAATGCAGAGTTCTGCTCTTTGGGCTTTAATTATAAGAGTGAGCAGTTGAGAAATAAGATCTATGATCCATTTTTCAGTTTTTTTCCATATGATTTAGCAAAGTAGTCAAACCACTGAAAGTTTGTCAAATTAATACCACTGACTGCAATTGGTTTGATTGAATTATACTGTGTGTGATAGTCAAATTAGTTCCTGGTTAACTACTAGAGGGTTCAATTCCTTCCTTTTAAAACATTTTTATAAATAAAAAAAGCTTCATATTTGTTGGTTTATAGCCTTTTTGTCATCTAGAAATAGAATTTTTTTGCTCGTTACCTCCACAAGGAGGTTATGTTTTAGTAGAGTTTGTGTGTGTTTGTCTGTCTGTCTTTGTATAGGGTAACTTGAAAAAATTATGGATGAATGTATGTGAAAATGCTTTTAATAAAGGTGTGCCTCATGCCAATAAACAATTCCTTTAAATATGCTAATGATCCAAATCATGTGCAAGTTGTTCTCTATAGGCTAGTTTTAAGTTACAATCTTGGGCTAAATCTGTTGCTTGGGGGAGGTCTGTGCTCTACGAGTGCTTTTCTAGTTATTCTTTGCTAAACATTTCAAGTTCATCGAGTTTTGAAGTGGAACTTCAGTAAATATTAGTAAGTCATGTTTTCCTATATCATACATCTTGCATTAGAGTTTAATCTAGACTCTTACTACTAGGCCATTTATGCTACATTAATGCTCCGTTATGATGTAAACGACTCCATTTTATCTCTGTGCGTTCTTGGTTGTCCTTTTGTAGCTTCATATTTAGCCCCATTCATCATTGCAAAAACTGTGATTCTGATGTGAGAAGTTAATTTTCTCCCACAGTATTTTGGACATTGATCAGAAAGTTTATTTAATCATAGTCCCATCCTGTTCATCTCCTTCTTTACGCCTGTTCTCCATTGTGGCTTTTGGTAATTATGGAGATGATTTCTACTTACTTTCTTGCAAATTCTTTCTCTCTTTTATTTGTCCAAAGTTGTTAAATCGTGTATGGTTTTGCTTACATCACACAGTTCTGCACCATATCGTGTTGATCTGTCCATAAAACTCCAAGAACACAGTGAACTATCTCAGTAAATGCAACAAAATGAAACAAAAAAGGACTTAAATTACATTTTGACGGTCCCCAGATGTACATGTAGCTTCTATTGCCAATGGTCAGGGCTGGCACCCGTACCTGACAACCCAAACTCTGTCCTGGTTCCCAAAGGAACCCCTATGCTCACCTGCTAAGGGCGTTTATTTACCTTAGTTTGTTTTAGTTTCTGTTTGCTTAAAAGACATTTTTTAACTCTACAAAAAGGGAGGCAGTGGCTGGTTTCTTCTTAGATTTATATAAAGTTGTGGTCGCAAACAGAAATTTGATAACAGGTTGTAAAATATTTAAAACATGTATAAAACATTTTCTGTATTGGTTATTTTTCTAATTTTTCGTTTCACTATGATGTTTATCTCTTAAGGTCCTCATAACACAAATGATGCCTTACAGTACACTACAAATAGGTTTAAAACAAAACCAGTACTTGGGTTTATTATATGATTATGTTAAAGAAAAAGTTTGTAGTGGCCTAGGGGAACATCTTTCTATGACATCTGGAACTGATATGTACTGATATCCTCAAAAACTGCATCAGATCTGCATCCACTAAACAGGAGCAACTAACCTGCTTGTCTAATTTACAAGGTTGTTGCAAAGGGAAGTTATCTCCTTTAGGTTGACACAGTCATGAAACAGTTTGTACACATTTAAAGAGGTACTGTAATTATATTTAGAAAGAAAGCATATTTAGATTTATCCATTCAGCTGATGGTAAATGTAACTCACTATAGAGCAGGGGGGTCTGCAACCTGTCGCTCCGGAGCCATAAGCAGCTCTATGGACCTGTGGCTCTTAATAACTTCATAACCAGTAAATGTTTTACAGATTTTTTTAAATTTTCTATTTGAATAACTACTCTGAAATTTGTTTATAAGAATGACCTTAAAGGTTCCAGAATTTTTTTTTAATTGGAGGTGGACCAATTGCAGTTTTCTTGACAATCACAGATCTTTAAAAAGCCTGAAGTGTCAAATTCGATTGTGACCTTCAGGGTTTTTATAAGCTCACAATACAGCTTCAGTGTTTCAATTTTATTTTGTTGGAAAAAAATGAAAAGCACCCATGAAAAAGATAATAGGCCTACTTGTTCAAACTACAGATATAGTGCTCTCAAGTTAATAGAAAAAGGTTTTGAACACTGACAGGGGCCATTGCAGAGGTAGATGACAATGGTGGATCAGGTTTATTTTAAAGTTAAGAATCTACCAATCATCGAAAATCTAAGAACTTGAAGCTGAACGATTGTCTTTTTTTTTTTTTTTAGATTTATTCTCTGGTCATTATGTTGGAAGCAATAACATTTACTTTACATAAAGAGAGCTGGTTCATTCAAAATTAAATAAAAAGACAAACACTGTTATCAATTGTTAATCAATAAATACTCCATTAAATTACGGTAGCAAATGTCCACATAAAACAAATAAAAAAAGCTCCTTTTTTCATTTATTAATTCATTTATTAATTTATCAACATCACATTTTTTATTTATTTATTTCATAATGGTATTTGATTTTGAGAAAGTTTTGAGGTTGCTTTATTGTACCGTAGATACTTTTTTTCTGTAACAGCTTTGTTTATTAATTGGAGTTTTCTCTGTCGGACTGCCAGGGAGTGCAGCAATGCAATCATAGAGTGCAGTCACCCTGGAGATTGGAACTCCCTTTCTACTGTATCTCATGATTAATTTGGAATATTGGTCAAGCAATGGTGGATGGCGCTGGAAAAAAATGTAAATACAAATGAATATATTACTCTTTGTAATACTCAATATCTGCTTAGTTTATCAGGACATCACTGACTTTCCAAACAGCTGCAGTGTTATTTGGCGCTGTTTGGGCTCATAGCTGGGCTCTCAGCCAGTTCTCCTCATTAGCTGATACACCCTCCCTTGTCAGGCTCAGAACAATAAGACCCAGTATTCAAGGTGAAAAGTTTATTAAAGATGGATCTGCAGGTGAGCAGCATCAGCATCTAAAGAGGGCAAAACCAGTGTCGAGGATGTGCTAGGTAGTCAGAGCCAGGAGATCAGAGGTCTAAAGAGCTTCCAAAGGGAAATCCAGAAGTATAATAGTCGTGAAACAGTTCCAAGTTCAGTAAACAGACAGCCAATAATCCGGCAAGAGTCAGGGAACAGGCAAGCTTAGAGGTCCAGAGGCAGAACAGCTCAGGATTAGGCAATCAGAAACAATCAGACACGCTAGAGAACTTCTCCCCAAATGCTCAAATAATCTGGCACTGATGCCTGGTCTGAAGGCTGGTTAAATAGAGGTTAAAGCAGTTGGATAAGATGAACAATAATGAGAACTGGGTGGAGATAGGCAGCTGAATAAAATGAGTAATCAGACCTAAGATCATGACATCCCTAGTGAGTTCCCACACTTTGTTTCCAATCTCTAGCTGTTACTACTGAGTGAAAGTTAAACACATATATAATTGTGTCAGATGATATATGGCTTATTTGCATGTTGCCCTCTAACTGAGGAAAGCTGTTTGATTAAAATTAAACTTTTTTGGGGTGTTTTATTTAGATTTAGAGCAAGAGAGTATATTAAAATATTTTTAAAAAAACATGCTAAAAATGGTCACTCACTTCATTTCAATTGCTGGAGTTTGTTGAAGAGATTAATAAACAATAAAAAAACAGAGCAAAAGAGCAAAAGATTGGAATCCAGACAATGTTAAATGGGGTTTTAATATTGAAAATACAAACTTAATGATTAACAACATAACCGTTCCCAATATACAGCTCAATGTAAATAAATAGATTTTTATTTCTATATTTTTATTGAATAGAATATTTATCAAAAATGTATTAACAAAATATGTTTGTTTAATTTGGAATGAGATGCTTCTCCATACCTGCCTCGATTAGTGACTGGTTTATATGTTTCCATGTGGGTGTAGGTGGCCATTAAGGTGATAGACAAGAAAAAAGCCCGCCAAGACTCCTATGTGCTGAAAAACATGAAAAGGGAACCTCGCATTCATCAAATGGTCCGACATCCACATATTGTAGTTCTTCTAGAGGTAAAGATAAAATAGTTACAGACACAACACATTCTGATGGTAAGTGTTTGAACATTAACCTGCTGCATAACTCTGTATGTCAGACCCTGGAGACGGAGAACAGTTACTACATGGTCATGGAGCTGTGTGCAGGAGGAGACCTGATGGACCGGATCTGTGACAGTAAAAGGCTGGAGGAGAGGGAGGTGCGGCGCTACACCCGACAGATTCTGTCTGCAGTGGACCACCTGCACAAACACGGCATCGTGCACAGGTCACTACCTACACAAGAGAAACACAAACTGCCTGACTTCTGCCTGGCAGAAAATGGGGAAATTGAGGCAGAAAAGAAGAGTAGAAGATCATTCTGCCATTGATAGATCTGTGGCAACCTTCTAGATTAATAGCAAAACAAAATGCTTAAAGAGAATGTAAGATTTTAGGTTGGTCTAGTCAATGTCTGGACCTAAACCTGATTAAGTTCCCATTCTGAGGCACCCACTACGTTGTTTCTTTATAATCTTTGGATGATGTGTCTTTATTTCTGAGTGAATGATAGAACAGTAGTCATGACAAACATACCTCAATCATTTCAGGAAGGAAGAAGTAAAAGACTTATCTGTTAATGTATATCTATATGGTTAAACTATGCCGTATTAAGGAAACTGTGGAGTTTTTTTAAGTTTATAATAGAGGAAATCCAGGCCTAATCACCAGTGGAAGAATATAGCAAAACCTGTCAGCAAACACAAAAACACATTCTGAGGTAGTTTGCAGGGCATTAACAGCCTTCAGAGAAGGGCAAGTATGTGTTGGTGTCAGATCACTTTTACTTTCACACGTTCATATCCACACAAACAGAACTGTAACCAGAAATATTATGCATAGTCTTTTGCTTCAGTTTGGGACCTTGGCTCTTCTCAAAGTGGGAATGTGATTACCAGGCAGTGACCTCATCATCCTGTGCCGGCGCCATGATTCACACATCATCACAACATCATGGACTTCCTCTCTAATGAAGTCCCCGAACGACATCGCTTTCAACTCCTGAACAGCACCTCTCCCTGTCAAACCCACCCACGCATCCACACGCATTTACAGCTCCCTCACACACATTCTCCATCGCAGTGCTGTGCAGAGATGATCACTCCTAAACATACCTCCTGCCACCCACATTCAACCGCATACATTTTTTGCTTTACCCTATTTTGTGCTCTTTCTGCCTCTTTGCTGGTTTTCCCTTATTTCTTTCTTCCTCCAATTCTCTTTGAACCTCCCCCGAGCTGCTTAAACAGGGATTTTTGGAGTTTTGAATGTCTGCTGCTTAGATGAAGGCAGATGAAAGAAACATGGCAGATTCCCAGGCTACAGTTTATAGGGACTCTCTCACTCCTAACCACAGATTTTCATTTAGCCAGTAGTTTTATAGCTTGAAGCCTCGCCTGATGGCGATGAAGCTGGGGTACAAAGAGGGGAGTACTGTAACTGATGTCAAGTAAATGCAGAGACTGTTCTCTCTGCTGACAGGTAAAAATGTAAAACCCCAAAAACAGCAGATGGTCAATTTGATTCAAAATTCATGATGGTTGGAGGTTTTTAAGTGGTTTGGGCAAAGTAATTTCTCAATGTGGAAAAGTAGAAATACACTTAAGTGTTCAATTCTACCCAAACCCCAGTCATGCATCCTGGCTTTCTTTTTGCTGCTACCCCTGGTCCTGTGCGCTCCAGTCCCAACTCATTAGATTAACAGTAAATACACAAATAAAGCTTAGTAAGGTTAGACAAATTTTGCAAGAACTCTTAAACTGGCAGCTTTACCACAAATTATAAAAAACTGAAAAATTAATTAAACTGATCAGAATTATATGGCAATTTCCGGTCCCCATCATTTAACCTGCTGATACTACTTAGGGCAGATTCCAATTTCTCATCTGCTCTTAGAATATAAAATATAGGAATGGAGTATTATTAATAAAATGGTATCGATGGCCTATTTGTCGGAATCCGCCGATACTGATACCACCATTTTGGTGCAGTATAGGGGCCCCACCCGATACTGGTTGCAGTATCAGTGCAACAGTAATACATATATATATATATACAGCTGAAGTCTCGTATTTAACAGGATTGTTGCACAGGGCAATTGCACAGGGTATTAAAAGCTATTTATATAAATAAGTATTCATATATATATTTATTTGTATATAGAGTTATTGCATAGGTTATTTAATTTAAATAGGTTATTGCACATTGTATTAAATGGTGATTGAACGTTAGTTATTGCAATTATTGCAGTTATAGTGCCGCACTGTAAAGTCGGATGGCAATAGGGATGAAACACCCACCTAATGTATTGACAAAGGTCCAAAACTACAGTATCTAATTAACAAATGAGTGTTTTTATTTTGCAGAGATTTAAAGATAGAGAACTTTCTCCTGGATGAGCATAACAACATTAAAATCGTAGGTATGTTACCTTGGTAACCAGGCTATCCATGTTCAAACCAAGTCCAGAAGTCAAACTATATCAGTTTTTTTCCATCTCAGAGTGCTGTAATTAGACCTTGATGTCTAAATGATGATTCCCCCAGACTTTGGCCTTAGCAACACCCTGAAGCCAGACTCTTTACCTCAGGAGCTCCTTAGCACGCAGTGTGGAAGCCCTGCATATGCTGCCCCTGAACTGTTGGCTCATAGGAAGTATGGATCCAAAGTTGATGTCTGGTCCATGTAAGTTAGAAGTGAGCTAATTTTTCCTTATCTATCACATAAAGGCTTATATTATCTCTCACATTGTTTTTCTACAGAGGTGTGAGCATGTTTGCCATGCTGACAGGGACCCTACCCTTCACTGTTGAACCTTTTAACATCAAGCAGTTGCATCAGAAGATGGTGAATAAGGACATTACCAACATCCCTGATGACATCAGCAAAGGTCAGAATATAATCACTTTCTAAAATTATTTGGAGGAGACCATGTGAGACTGATTGATTAACTAGCTTGATGAGAGATGGAGACAGCTTTATGCACAGTGATGTTCATATTTTGCCTTTAACTATGACCGTGATAATTCTTGATTTTAACTCATTGTGATTTATGTTTGATTCATTTTGATCACCTTACCTGTTTTTCTTTTAATAATTCCTCATAAAAAAGACCATTCAAGCAGCACATTTTTCCTGATGTTTTTGAGAATATACTGTAGGGGTGAAAGCTGCAGCTGCTACTAGTGTGAAGTGAATGGACAGCAACAAAGCGTTAAAGCAACAATGGGGAAATGCTGTCCCCTCAATGCTAATGTAAACCCTGGTTGGATAAGGATTCAAAACTGGATATGAAGATGAAATCTGATGCACAGTTTCAGTGTTACAACTGATAAAATAATTGCTGTCTGTGGTTCTACAGTAGGCTATGGTGTAATTGAGCAATATATGAAAAAAAAGAACTATGAACTAGTTCATTTTTTGGAACTGTGAACTTAGTTCAAAATTTTTAATTATGATCTATGAACTGAACTAGTTCATTTTAAAATGTGTGAACTGAACTAGTTCACGTAGAAAGAGAACTTTCCCAACACTGTTCTCAGGAACCCAGAGTGGAGGCAGTGGGGTTCTAACCATGTACTTGCAACCTTCTCAGGGCAAAAGGGCACTGCTCTAACCTCTAGGCCAACACTGCCCCAAAGATTCATAAATCTTTATGGTCTGTAAAATACCTGTTAAGTTCTATAAAGCATGTAGTTAGTGTCAATAACACATCTCAAGAAGTTTATTTAAACTTTTGAGTTTAAAGAAAATTCTAAGGAGATATCTTGCATGTTCTTTATAGTACATGAAAAGTAACCTGGACATTCTGAGAAAGCACTGCCTGCATATTAGGGACTTTGTTTGACTTTTATCTATTGGACTTGACTAAGTAAACAACATCCCTAGAGTCTCCTTAGAGTTATTATCAGCGCTGTCTGTTTATTCTTTTTTTTTTTTTAACTCATTTTGTAACACAGGTCAACTCAAGTCTGTGTTTAATGTGAAAAGACCAAATCACTGCTGTCCCAGTGCCTAAGAATTCACTCTAAGCATTAGACCTACTTTTACTTGTTATTTTTTCCTGCTGCTACTCATCCAGATAATGAAAGAGGGATTTTCTTACAGTAGAGTTCATGATATTGAATTAAACAAATGTTCTGTTTTAAATTCACTCATGCTGCAGATGCTGTGTCATTCATGATGCTTCTCCTGGAGCCAGACCCAGATAAAAGACCCAGTGTCAGAGATGCAATGGGAGAGAGATGGATCAGCGAAGGATTTGCCAGGAAACCTTTACACACAGTCTCACATAAAAACAGGTAGACATACAGTACAACCTCAATGCTCCTTAGATTTTACCTAAACCATATTGCAACACAATGATACAGTTATATTTCACTTTTAAATAGGACCAAATCTAAATCTGAATGGGGATTAAACCAAAAGGCCACAAGTTCTAATGCCACAAGCTTTTAGTTATGTAAATGGCCAATAAGAGCTGCATCTGTGTTTTGAGAAAATAAAAAAACTATTTTGTGGTCTGCATTGTGACTGCTTTAATTATTACATCACGACCAAGACTCTTTTATCACTGTGCAATGTGGAAACGCAGTCATGTATGGAGCTCAGCTGTTCCAGTTCTGGTCTACACTCAACCAACATCCTAGAAGTTGTCTTTTATATATTTTTAGAATGGCTTTCAATCCTGTCCTGTCTTGTTTCCCAGGTTATGCCAAGAAGATCTTAACTCATCTGTGCTGGCTTACATGACAGAGACTCTGGGGTATTCCCTCTCTGAAGTCATAAACATGGTCACCACCAACAGACCGTCAGCCATCATGGCTTCCTATCATCTGCTGCTTAACAAGTTCAGCCGAAGCCACAGAGGAGCCAAGGCTGGCAAGGTTAATACTTTACACAAAAACACACAGGTGTAAATATATCGAAAGGTACAAGGGAGGATTTTCCTTAATTTTTTTAAAGACCCACTTTAGACCACCTATATATACCTCATGTCATGTTCATTTTAAAATAGTGGATATATTAGCTACTCTATTGGCTTTTTACAGAAGCTGCAGAAGAACGACTGGACTCCTTCAAGCAAGACTACCTGGAGATACAGACGCAACACTGAAGCAAAGACTCAGCATCAGGTGAAAGTTATGTGAAAGCTGTACCTGTGGGATGTCAGAGTATCCAAGCATTATTTTCTTCAGTAGACGTCAGAAAAGTCCATATTGTCTTTCCCCTAATAATTTAAAGATCAGTATGAAGATGCGTATTGTTGCCTACTATGTTAGAAAGATTGTTCAAATGCAGTAACTAATGCTGGCTTTTAGCTTTCTGTTTAGGCTAAAATGGGACTATAAAGTTTAAGCTATAAAGTGTCAGTCTTAGGGAAGGAAGCATTTCAAATCTTTCTGCAAAGTCACACAATTAACACCTTCTCGCTGCATTTACTTGTGCTGTCATTTGTTTATCTTCTTACTTTCTGTGTACAGAACCCACCAAAGAGTGAGAAAAGCTTGAAGCAGTCCAACAAACTGTTAAAGGTCCAGCAGACGAGCAAGAGTCAGAACAGAAGGAAAACCACAGAGTTGCAGAGGAAGGCTCACCTTGAGGATGATGAGAACCGCCCACCATCTCCTACTTTGCCTCACCTTCCTCACTCTGCCTCCCCCCCTTTACCCTCACACCTTCCCTCCCCATTCCTTTCACCTGACCCTCTGTCCACAGAGGATGGGACGACTGATGAGGAGGTAACCATCTCTGTGAACACCAGAGAGAACCTGTTTCCTGAAGGTGAGGAGCTCCATTTTTTACAGTACCTTGAACATGTATTCAGATTAATGAAACTTTTTTAAACTTTGTAAAATTAAGATTAAGATTTGTTATTCTGGATTATCCTGAAGTGGCAGGAATATGATACATGGTTGTCAACATTGCATTTTAACATTTAAAAAGGTGTTTCTCTGATATTCCTAGAAAGAAATGAAGGCAACAAGTTGCACTTAGAATTCAGGGACAAAAGCAAAAACGGCACGAAACATTCTGGCCATTGTGTTAAATAATACTATGTGTATCTTACTCAACGGAAGGACACTGTCCACCGCCTTGAAGCTCAGTGGTGGAAGCATCATGCTGTGAGGATTTCTTTTTTTTTTATCAGAGACAGGAAAACAATTTACAATTGAGAAAAATGAAATCAAGAAATTATATCTTAATTCTAAAGATGGTATTAGATGCAGAATATGAATGCACGTGCATTATTAAAGAAGATAACAATAATATCCTGAATGAAACCAACATGGCAAAACATTTATGAATATCTCTGTGAGACAAACCCTCAGTGGCCATATGTCTGTGTTTTAGTGTCAGTGTTTGGAGACAGGGAACTGGTCCATCTTTGCCCTCCAAAAAGCTCAACATCACAGCTCTGTGACTCCGCTCCTTGCCAAGTTCCCTTACCGGCCGAGCCAATCCAAGATGGCATCGCGTCCAGACCAGCCCAACACACACACCCACTCAGGACAACTCAGTCGGACGGAGCCGCAGACTCTGGGTCAGACTGCTTCCAGGACAAATACCACCAGGAGAACTCCCATCACCTTAGCATCAATGAAAGACTGGAAAAGCTGCAGACTTTTTACTCCTATGAGAAAAACGACATCTCTTCCAGAATGCTCCTGGAGGCTGGAGCCTTACTCTCAGCAGACAGAGGGCAGCTGAGTGCCACCCAGGCATCACAGATGTCCCCCTCCGCTCGCCTGCCTCGCCTGTGCAACTTCGGGCTTAAAGATGGCCGAGGAAGGAAGGTGACATGGGCAGGTTTGAGTCGACCTGGACCTCCTAGACTTCTGGTAAATGGGTCAAAACCACCAGTTCTGTCTTCACAAAAACAGCATCCTTTAATCATGAAGAGCATCAGACAGGAGAGGGGAAGGAGAAAAGAGATCATTGGAGAAAGAGGAAGCGAGGGGCCAAAAGAAGGCATCGACAGAGACAAGAGGAACTCGGTTCAGTTACGTTCGTCTCCTCAGCGGCGGGTGGCAGATCTGAACCTGCCGCTGCTCCCTGATACCCTGCAGGCGAAAACTGACAGGAAGAACCAGCTGCATAGTATGGACTACTGACATGAACGGGAGCATCAATAAAAAGGTTAATGAAAAGTTCAAGGATGGCTGGTGGAAGTCAGAGAAGTAATAAATACAAGAAAACTGTGTAGAAATAGGAACCAGAGAAAATTTCAATGAACAACCATAAATGGCAGCTACAGAACTGTACAGCCTAAAAGCTACAGTAAGTCCTAGATACACTGTTCTATTCATGCCACACTCAGACAAACATTGTTTATTTTTTTTATCTTTATTTGCAGTGCCAAAAATACTTCACCTCATGCCTCAGCTGCTGAAAACGGCCTTTAAAAGACTTTGGTTTATGTCACGGGAAACATTTGAACATCTAAAATGTTACCAGATCGCTGTTCAGATTTAGTTTCGAACTTTTTTCCTATACACAACCTCTGATGTCAAGAGAGTAAATGATATACTTAAAATAAAGAATGTAATGTCATCTAAACATCTGATTTCAGAATGGATGAGAGATTTACCCTATCATACATTTTCTATAATCGCTGTTCAGGGATTAGTGCTTATCTGCAGCGATCAGTGGCTGAGCTGCCAATCAGATATATGTATAGCTAACACAGAAAAAACAAGACAAGCATTCACATACACACACACTCATACGTATAAACATACAACTCAGAATTAAATATTTAACTTGTCTACTTTCCTCTAATAGAAACTGAAGAGAACATACACACGCAAGTAGAAAATATGGACTCCACTCAACAACCATTTACACTCATTAGATAATAGGAATTAGATGGGATTTAGATTGATCCCTGTTAGTTTCCAGTTTCATCCCTGCTGCATTAGAATGGCTCTTAACAGGTTTAGATATCACAATATCTTGAATATCTTTCAGAAATTAACCTTCCCTGTGTTTTTATTTGTTTCACTGAATGTTAAAGTACTGCTGTGTTCTACATTTGTGTTGAGAAGACTGAAAAACTCTGATTTAATGAAAAACTGAATCTCTGACTTGAAAAGTTGGACATTTCTCACTAACCTCACCTCAAAGTTAAATATGGCCCACAAGCCTTTAATACTCAACAACACAGCCAGTGTTTATTTACACTTCAAGGATGTTTTTTATTTCCTCAGATCAGTCCCAGACATGTGCAGAACTCTTCTGAAAATGCAACATTTTGGAGTAAGTGCCAAAGATGTAGGGTTATCAATTGTGTTATTAATAGCTGCATGGCTAACTGCTGAAAAGGCAGCCAGGTGAGCAACTCACTGACCATGGCGACATGGCATGGGATGTGCTCTATATCTTATGTCCTGATGCTTTGGCGAAAATCTGAAGTAGAAATGAATGAAGTAAAGATGTATCACCATCAGTTGGCCATTACAACAGTTGGTTAGCATGTAGACTGGCTGATGAAGAGGAGACAGGGATAGATATATCTAAAAAGAAGAAACTGCTCCTCTGGTATGCTTAAAGAAACACATTCTTGCTTGTTATGTGTTCTTAAAATTGCATAATGACAAATAAATCACTTGTTAAACTTAGTGAGTTAGCCACTTACAAACCACATTGGTCATTTAAAAATACCCCATTCCCAGATCTGGTATCTGGTGCAAATGAAACTTTAGCAGCAAAAATACTTTCAAAATACTTTATTAAAAATTAGTCAACTGATTTTAAACAATTGAGTAAAAACTGTCCTTAAATCTTCATAGTTAAAAATTTGGTTACAGTAAAATTGTCATTTCTAATTAAATTGTGTTGGAGTTTGGATCATTTGAAACATTTTCACAGAGTTGCCATTGGCTTAAAGAGCAAATTGACCTACATACCTGTTCAGTATTTATGATTGCCTACATATAAAGGTCTTTGGATCTCACACACCTGGACGTGCCAGATGCATGTTATATGATGTAGCATAAATCCTTTAGAAATCAATCCGGTCACAGGTGAAGGTCTATGCATCATCAATATTTAGATGCAAAGATGTGGAGGAATCTGGTGCTGAATAATTCACCCTCTGTCACATGATATTGTGTTTTTTTAGTTGTGTGTGTAAACCTATGTGTGTGCTGCAGGGAGGCGCTTGTCCTATGAGGACGGATTGAACCCACTCAGGTGGATATATCACCCACTCCAGTTACCTCTGGAGTGATATGAACCACTAAGCTCTGATACTATATCAGACATGAAAACAAGCTGATGTTACACAATACTGCTACATTATCAAGGACCAGGCTGTCAGTAAACATGTACAGATAGGTAGTCTCTAAAGATCACTAGAGAATCTTTTTTATTATAAAGTAAATTCAAAGACATATATTTACATAATTTTCTGCTGTTAGCATCATGCATTTGATTATTGCACCAGTTTGATTTTAAAGTGAAGATGTTGGCTGATTGAAAAAGGTGACTTCCTTCTTCAGTCAGAAAGTTAAGATTAGGCTGAATCTGAACGGAATGGAGATGAAAGAAAATGGCTTGGAAAATCAATCAATAATGCAGGTTGCACATGAAGATGGATCCATGACTGCCGGAACATTGTGTGCACGCTACGCTGAGCGTTGGTCTCTCTGCACGTGACAAGCTTTCAACAATGACTCGACCTTCTAAACCGTGTCAGTTGTTGATCTGTCGCCCTAACGCTAATAAGACTTTTAATCTTTCTTAATTTGTTTCAAATAACCCAATTGTATTCCAACATAATTTGCGACTGGATTTAGTAGATTTAAAAAGCAAACATTTTTCTGGAGTTATCAAAAAGAAAGTAATATTCATAACAGCTGTTGCCTTGATGTCAATACTGTTAATATATAACCTATTTTATAGAGTTTCTGAAAAGATGTGTCAAATAAAAGAAGGTCCAAAGGTAATATTATATGAATATATTTCAAATGAATCTTGACATAATTGACAAATTAAGCACCAACAGCCCTGTAAACCCAGATACCGGTAAGTTACTAGAATTCAAATATTTTAAGCCAATCAGTTACAGCACAATTTTTAAATTGAAAAACTTAAATACAACTAATCCGAAGTTATGTTGATATTCATTTGCATTTCTTCATTTAGATTACAGTTTGATCGCTACATTTCAGTACAAAAACTCTAACCATTTTAATTACTATTAAAAGTTTTTAGTTTTATGATCTCATACTTGTTCATTTGTAAACAAAAGTTATTTGTTTAATTTGTCTCTTAGTTCCTAATTTTTGCAAAAAGAGAAAGAAACTGATATACAATTTATGAACTGGATCTGCCTTTAAAATTAAGGGGGTGTAATATAATCACTTATTGTTAGAGTAATGTTTGTTTTGCTACAGTTTATTATTATCTGCCAACATTTAACAATCCTGATTAAATTCAATACCAACTTTCTTTCAATTCTAGAATTTTGCTGCTTAAGGTGGCTGCACGTTGGATTAGCTCTGCAAGTTTGTCTCTGACATTGTTGTGAAAAAGAACTTAAGTTCGTCCATTTTTAGATCAGAGATTCTTTTTTCTGATGTTATTTTTTTGTCTGTTGTTGAATACTGTAAAACTGGAGGGATTTCTACAGACACTAAAACATGGCTGCAGGATCATATCTCGGACTCCAGTGTTTATCTGCCAGGCTTTCTACAAGACAGGGATTTAAAGAAGACAGGAAAACTAAATGGACGTTGGTTGGCAGTGCTTGTGAACAACAGATAGTGTCATCCAGGACATGTTCCAGAGAAGATTCTACACTGCAGCAAAGATAGTGAACTGTTGGCAGTTGGTTTTTGACCATATTATTTGCCCAGAGAGTTACCTTTTGGTAACCATTTACATTCCATCTTCTGCCATTGCAGACACTGCATGCAAGGTAATAAGTTCTGTTGTTACTAAACAGAACAGCCAAATGCATTTGTGGCAGTAACTGGTGATTTTAATCACCAGCTCTGTGGAATACTACCACACATATTCAACCTTAACCTGGCCATAGAGACCTTTCCAGTGATGTGGAAGACCTCCTGTGTTGTTCCAGTGCCAGAGAACACTCAGCCAATAGTCCTCAGTGACTATTGGCCTGTTGCCCTGACATCCCACATCATGAAGGTTCTAGAAAGACTTCTGTTGGTTCACCTCAGAAAACAAACAAGCAGGTATCAACACCCCCTGTAATTTGCTTAGTTGGAATTGAAGATGCCATCATACTTCTGCTTCAACAAACCCACTGTCATTTAGACAAGGCAGACAGCACAATGAGGATCATGTTCTTTAATTTCTCCATTGCATTTTACACAATTCAGGCTGACTGACTTTGTGAGAAACGTCAGAAGACTCTTTTGGAGGCTACCTTAAACCTACTTTAAAGGGCAGATTATACTTCTGCAACAGCACAAATCAAATGTCGCTTGGATCTGGTCCAGGACCAGTTTTGCTGGTATGCTTTTGCACTGTTGGTCTGGAATTTTTAGGGATGCACAGCAGTTTCCCGCCAAAGCACAGGGGGGAGCCTATTCGAGAACTCGCGAGAACTTCTGCGGCGCCGGCTGGACTGCTTATCTTCGAAAAAAACAATAGTGCGTCTGCAAGATGTCACGGAGATGGATCTAGAGTTGCTAGACATTGAAGAGGAACAGATTCTGTTACTTAAGTTTGCAAAAAGACTGATTAACCTTTCGTTGTAGTTGTCCATTGTAGTTTTTCCTCTGTTTTTAAAAATGGCGCACCCCGGCACCGAATCAAGATGGACAACGACACAGACAGCCGGAAAGGCATACCAAGGACCAATTACAGCTGCTTTATATCTGCGCACATCCGCTTGAGGTCTACACGGATTTGCAACTGTCTGTCGCAAAGTCGGGATTTGTTTTAGGTGCGCGACAACGGTTGCAGAACCTCTGCGTGTGGGGCGTGGTCACACACAGAGACAGATTTGACCATTGCAGAGGCTATGCATCAGAAGCATAAATTATCCTTTACTCTGTACTCGTCTGACTTACAGTACCTGACAGAGTCCTGTCATCTGCAGAAATACTCAGATTACTCTGCAGTCATTAGGTGCATGGTGTGGGAAAAAATCATCTGATCCTGAATGTCAACAAAGCAAGGGAGATGATTGTAGATTTCAGAAGAAACAGGAAGTAATTGAATACTGTTAATATCATGGGAGAAGAACTGGAGGTGGTTGAGGAGAATAAATACCTTGGTGCACACCTGAAAAAACAAACTCATTTACCATCTTGACTCAGCTGTGAAGCCATCTATAAGAAGGAATAGAGCAAATTGTTCTTCCTAAGGAAGCGTAGGTCCTTCTGTGTTTGCAGCAAGATGCTACATATCTTCTATAAGTCTGTTGTGGAGAGAGGCATCTATTATGCCATCATCTGCTGGAGTAACAGTATTGGAGCTTGTTGTGGCCTGCTGTTCCAAAAAGCCCAACATTTCCAACTAAGACCATGGGTGGTAACAGATGGTTTTTGGATTTTTACGCAGTTCCGACTTGACTAATTCATTGTAAAAACAGAGACAATATAATTACTAAAAAGTCTTGAAACTTAGTTGAAATGCAAAAATTATATCAAATTAATGTTTGAAGCTCTAAAAAAGTGGTCAAAAAATCATTTACAAAACCTCCCGTCCACACCAGACATTTACCAAACAATCCACCTCCACCCAGCACCCGGTGCGTTCTTAATTACTGAAATTAGTGGGAGAGTCTAACAATTAACAGTGTAATTGTATATAATTACATTGTTAAAATATTAAAAATTATTTACAAATTTTGGTACTAAATTAAATATATTCTATATTAAATAAATTCTATATTATTCCAAAGAAGAAAACTAAATTGGTAGAAATTACAAACATTTGCAAAAATGGCCACAACAAGACCTAATGACTTAAAAAAGCTTAACCTCTGCAGATTAATTCAAAAAGAAGAATTCTTCATAAAGTGAAGAAAATTTTGGACAACAGTGATCATCCTCTTCAGAAGACTGTTAAACAACAGGGAGTCTTTTTGACAGAAAGTTAGTCCCGAGTGATTTGTTCCCAGGAAAAGAAGTGAAGAGAGAAAGCTTCAAGGTGTAAACAGAGCTTTCCTCAACAAAGGCATTCATACATTTCAACTCAAGTGGCCTTGACTTCAGACCTTTAGTTGCTTCACCTCCATAGTTACAGATGTGTGCTCTATCTGTAAATGACGCTGACAAGCCTAACATGCCTGGACTCGTCTACTGGTGACTGATTATTTAGATATTTAGTTACAGCTAAATTAGTTACTTATTAGAGCAGGTCCAGAAAACAACATCTAAGGAGGATTTTAGCTCCACTGTTGAGTCTTTTAAGGATCTGTGGAGAGGTTAATCCATATGATCCTCCAAAGGATTCTAAAATGCCCCACAGTTACTGCTGTAATTACTTAGACTTAGACAGATTTTATTTTGTCATTTTGTACACACAAGTGTAAACAAAAAGAAATGTAATTATTGTTAATTGTTAATTAACAATTAATTTACAAATATTGTTAATACAGTGTATTCAGACTTATGCCCTGTTTTGTAATTAATGTGCCCTTGGTAGATACACCAAGTTTTTCTGTTCTAATGATTTA